GCTAGTCTCAATGTCAGCAGTTCAAATTCACCAGCTGTTCCACAGGAGAAGGAGGAGGTTTTCCGATCCCATAAAGATTTACAGCCTCGGAAACTAAAGGGATTGTTGTGCTTTGCTCTATAGGGTCCCTATGGTTTAGAATCAACGCAATGGCAGATTTCGGTTTCATTTTTATGAATTGGAACAGACTCGGTGGAGGCAGGTTATAGCTTATGCTTATATGGGAACCGCTGACAACAGAATTTGAGAATTTGAGAGGTAAAATTTGGCTTAATCCTGAGTTCCCCTTTTAGCAATTGTGTGACCTCAGACAAGTCATTTGGCTTTCTGAGGTATCCCTATCTTCCTTGTAAAAATATTGTTAAGGGTACGGTCAGAAATGCAAGCTACAAAGAGTCCCTGGATTACAAATGTGCAACTTCCAACCCATAGCTTACCCCTTTTAGTTTTTAAAAATCATTTTACTGGGGGCTCATACAACTCTTATCACAATCCATACATACATACATCCATTGTGTGTCAAGCACATTTGTATATTTGTTGCCATTATCATTCTCAAAACATTTGCTTTCTACTTGACTCCTTGGTATCACTCCTTGGTATCAGCTCATTTTTTCCCAGCTTACCCTTTTAAGCGATGAATTTTGACCTGATTTTGAGAGAATCGTACTAACTCCTCTCACAACACCAACTCACAACAAATTCTTTATCACAATAACCGTCACGTGCTGCACATACACCTTTATACATCATTGAAAAGGCAAACGCATTGGGCCTTTTCTTGCATTAAAGAACCACATGTAACTGTTCTTGCCGATAAATCACAGTTGGACACTTAGGAAGAGATCTCGTTGGTAACCTGGGCAATATCTGTACCAAAGACCCTGCAAGACGCGACAGGTGTCGTATAAATCATCTTAGAGGTATTCACCTCATGCTCAAGTTTCAGCTGAAAACGAACTCTACCCTCTTTTTACTGCTCATAAAATAATTAAGTTTTTAACATGTAATAGGGGCAATTAAGCTGAGCTGGAGAAATCCAAAGTAGAGGTAACTATTTGGCTAATTAATATGAGGTTTATCCCTTCAATTACCAGCAATTTAATAGATTGGGTAATTATTTCTAAAACTTACATAAGTGGAACCACAATCTTCCATCTCAGCTTTTTGTGAATCAACCAGGATTTCTGAAGCACCAACCACACGCTCAGCATCAGCAAGAGTTGCTATGTTGCTGGATTGCCTAATTGTGTGGAAGAGGAGATCTAGGATTCAGATGCTGGTAATAAGAATGGTCCCATCAACCAAGGTTATGAATATCCATTTTAAGGCAAAATGGGGGAAACCGCAATACAGTATTCTCCTTTTGAAGACTTCCAACACATAAAAGCAGATTGTGGGTCATTGAAAAAAAAAGAATGGTCTGATCAATAGCCTTCAATTCATGGGATAGGAAATGAACAAGCCCAGGGATCAATCAATACTGTTAGAAGACTGCCAGGATGCTTTCCAGGTAAATGAAATTAAAATGATTTCATTTCTTTCTTCTATTAATACAATCACTAGAACGCCAACAGCTTAGTTACTGGCAAGAAAAGCCATCACGTGAAGGCTGGCACTGTGGATGACAAAACATTATTACCTTGGATTGGCTTCTTATCAGAGAGTTTCCGTTAAAACGGAAACCCATCAACCTTGTTTCCCCGCCTCATGAGCACACAGACAGCACAAACCTGGATTTCTACATCTCACAACCCACTTCAGAGCAAAGCAGGCAGCCAGAGTTGTGAAGGCCCACAGCCCACCCCCCATCCAGGAACACTGACCAGAGAATCAGACCAGAAACAGGTAGACTTTCAGACTTCTCAAATACTTTTCTTCCTGAGCACCTGAGGCATACAGCGCCATTTCTACTTACAAAACAAAAAAGGGGAAAAAAAGAGTGTTTTTAAATGACTGCAGTCAGGGCAAGAAAAGGGAAACAGAGTCTTTATTGTGTCCGGTCCCAACAAGCGTTCACTGTGTGCACATTCCTCCAGCAGGAGACAAAGACCTTTGTGCAAAATATGTCGAGAAGAAATAGGTAAACAAATGCTATTATTGAATACACACAAAGAATGTTAATATCACGAGTTCACAGTCAAGGGGGTAGTACAAAAGAAAGGAAGCTAAATCATCATCCTGATGTTTGTCCAAATAACCATCTAGGCTGTAGCTGTGAGGTGAAAAAAAGGGCAGCTACCGCAACTTAGGAGAAAGACGTTGGAGACAGCGGAGGCCATGTGACACATTTCTCTCGCTGCTGCATCACCACCACCTCTCCCCCACAAGTTGCAAGCTGAGCTCCTTCAGACCTCAGAAGCCAATTGTGACTAAACTTCCCAAGTCTTTTGGGATAGTTGGCATCAAAATGAGATGGATTAAAAAAAAAAATCAGTTTCATTTGGAGACATGTCGGAACCCACTTCTAGGCTAAGGAGGTCTTAACACTGACATCGTAAGCGTCACTCCCCCAAATGGAATTTAACCAAGTGGGGACCACTGACGCCATCAAGCCTGAGTGGCTGTCCGGAGAAGCGGCCCTGGCCTAGGAAGCGGTTTTCCTTGCTCCCCAGCGGAAGTGAGTGGAACAATGCTGCTGATTCCCAACACACCCATTTCTGACAACTGCTCAAAGAACTCCACAGGGCCCACACGGGCGGTGCCAGCGCACTGTTTTGGGTTCAACAGTCACACGAGAAGGAAGCACAATACAAACTTTGTCCTCCCCACTTTCAAATGTAAGTCATTTGAAAACCAAAACCCACTCCTATGAGCCAAGGGCAGGGCGTTCTGGAGGACTGGCACTCCCACCCTGATTTTGGAGACACACATGTCCCCTCACCACCCCCCTCTCCTAGTCAATTCTCTGTGCAGTAGAGAGTGCAGCCCCTAGTCTTCCTCAGGGACAAACAAGCAAACTCCCCGGAGGCCAGCTCCCGGGGGAGGTGCTGGCAGCCCACAGAGAAGGGCTCCACTGGCTCTCTGGAGTTTTCCTGACTGACCTCCAGAACACCTGTCCGCTTGGTCCCCCATTGTTGAGACAAATCTCTGCTCCCACAAGCGCCACCTTTCACCTGGCAATTTACATAGGCAGCGGGGAGGCATGCTACAAGGAGCCCAGAGGGGTTGTTTTAACAGGAAGTGGCATAAAACAAGCTCGGATAGAAAAACATTACCTGTTTCCCTTGGTGTTTACTCTACACAACACACACGAGCTGACTGACGACTATCGTTCTTAATCTTTTCTGAGAAGCCAGACGGCTGTCATTCCATTTTGGAGACTGACAACAAACACGTTTACAATGGAGCCCTGTGACTTTCTGGCTCAGTGTGAGCCGGAAGGCTCCTTTTCCCTGCACCTCGGCCTCTCCTATTCTTCCCCGACCCCATCGGGGCCTCACGGAGGAGTATCCTACAACGTAATCATGACAGCAACGTTCCAAAATAACCCTTCCTGGCCTTCACACTGAGGCAGGCGTAGCCAGTCTCTACTTTCCTTACAGCCGAACCATGTTTTTTTTGTTTTTTTTTAAAAGGCAAGAAATTGACCTAAAGAAACATAATACAAAGTTTGTTTTAAAGATAAAACATTTGGCTACACCTGTGCCTCTACGTATAAAAGGAAATGTGAAAGCCTCTAAAACAGCGGCTCTCAACCTGTGGTCGCACCCCTTTGGGGATTGAATGACCCTTTCACAGGGTCGCCTGATTCATAACAGTAGCAAAATGACAGTGATGAAGTAGCTACGAAAATAATTTTATGGTTGGGGGTGGGGGGGCAAATTCACCACCACATGAGGAACTGTATTAAAGGGTCGTGGCATTAGAAAGGTTGAGAACCACTGCCCTAAAATGATTCCACATCACAGCCCCGTGTGCAAGCGTGTGGTTAATATTATTTGGATGAATCCTGAATGCATTCAACTGCTAAAGCACAGTACAAGACCTTGGTTGAACTTGTTCTGAAATAGTTTGGAAAGGCAGACACTGGTTTGCTGGGCAGTAGCCTGTCTCGTCAAATCCCTGGCAAGCTGGGAGGGGGAGGATACAGTGAGCTGGTCCCTCCTGGTAGCTGGCTGCTCCCTGCTGGAAAGGACCAGGGCCCTGTGGCAGACTAGGGAGAGTCTGGGGTGAAAACAGGCAGGGTTGTCCCCTCAGGTGTTCCCACTGGGGACCCAGTGAGAGTAAAGGAAGCCAGTGAGATTTCCTAACCAAGAAGCAACAGTAACAGCACAGTAGCCCAACTCTCATTGGGAACCTGCTCGTCAATGAAGCACACAGCCCTGGAAGACGCCCATGTTGATTCCAGGAGTATAACAGAACGAAGTCCACAGTCGGGGGGGCCTCAGAGGTGCAACGCAGGCTAGAGGAGCGCATGCGCCTGCTTCCAGGGTCATTTTACCACAGAGACTGCCCCGTGGTCCGTGTGGAGCTTCACGTTTGTACAACGGGCAATCTACAATATATTTATCCATAAACAAGCAAAGGAAAAAACCACCCAGCAAAAATCTCTGGTAAAACTCTAGACATAATTATAAATTTATATTGTACCAATAAAAAATAGTTAAGAGTTGGGGACAGATGGCTAACAAGACACCAAGCTGAAGTGAAGGCTGAAGTCTGGTGTTTTTACTAAACTCTGATCATAAAGTAGTATTTTCAATATTTTTTAAAAAATTACTATGAATTTGCCAGGCCCTGTCATCCCAATTCATATCCCCTCCTTCCTCCTATCTCCTCTCACCCCTAAGGAGTTAAAGGGAAGCATAGTTTTGTCCAGTACCCTCTTTAAAAAAAAAACACTAAGTTTCAGAGAGAGCTCAGAAGAGATAACCTGAGCCCATGGATGGGTTTTGACAAATATAACACAAGACTAATGGCAGTTGTGTTTTAAGCAGCAGACGCCCACTTCACGAATTAAAATCTCTTAGCCAAGTAGGACAAGCGAGAGAAGTAAATGTGAACATTTAGAAGCTTAGTATTTACTTAAAATCAAGATGGAAAACTCAGAAGGTGCTGCCTGACTGCGATGGTGTGGTATACATTTAAAATATTGGAACGCAGGCATTCTTACAAATGGCAATATAACCATAATATACCAATTATAATCGTGAACAAGTTTTTCAATGGACAGGTACTTGTGGCGAGCTGTGGACGAGGGAAATGTTGAGAAGAACACAGCAATGGGAGCAAATGCTTTTGGGATAAGGCTCTGGGAGAAGAAGGGCACTGGTCGAGGTCCACGGTGGCTATCCGGCCAGCTGCCTTGGTGCCACAGGAAAGTATACAACTGGCAGGATTCAAGAGGTGGACAATTCTGCAGCCCCCAAAGCAAGTCTCTGGTTTCACTCCCACGTGCTGTGCTTTCCAGGCTCCACCAAGGCCTCCTCAGGAGGATCTGCTTTCGGACGTGTAGTAACGGTACAGGAAGCCTAAGAGAACCGCGCCTAGGATCGGGAGGACCCAAAGCGACCAGCAACTAGAGGTGGGGGAGAAAGCAAGAAAGGGGTGAACATTGCATACCACACAACGGCTATCTTTCAGCATTCACATTTTAATAATCTGATGGGCAAAGGGTCCTGATTTGCCTTGGGAAATCTAGCTGCTTTTATCACATAGGAGCTGGAAGAAACCAAATTACTTGGATTGGATTAACAATATTAAACAGCAACAACAAAAACAGAAAAATCAAAGAAGGTTGAAAGCAGAATGAATAGTGTGATACCAAAACCCAACAAAGTACACACGTACACACCTCTTATACAGACATATAGACTTCTGAGTCGTGGGGTTACAGGTGGTTTAGTATTTTCTTATTCCCCCCCACCCCCACATATTATAAGAGTAACATTTTAAAAACAGGACAAACAAGTACAATTATAAAATACAATAAAAGAGCATTTAAGCATTATAACGTTTGATGCCTTTTGGAAACAGTAATTTCTATTTTGCTGTTTCATCTGCCTCATGTTTTTAAAATTTAATCTCCACAACAACACCATGAAATTGGTGTTATTATGATTCCCAATTTATAAACAAATGAAAGCTTTGCACTCCAAATCACAAAGCTGGTTAGTAAGTGAGGCCAGATTCCAGGCCCAGGCTCCTAACCTCTAGTCTGGATACCAATAGACTGCACACACATACATACAGAGAACAGACTGATAGTGCTGATAAAGAACAGCAACTACGAGCCAGCCAGAAAAAGCACTACCAGAGACTTTTCTTAGGATTGTCAAGACAGTAATCAGTCTCCTAAAAATAAATGTTCCTCTTTCAACAAGCTTATTAATAGGGCTAGTTTGAGTGTGTAATTCTGTTATAAACCAGTGGCTGGCTATCCCTCTATTTAAGGCATATACAGTCTTGGTATTAGAAGGTTTTCAAGCCAATAAAACCAGCTGAAGTCCAATAATAAAAAATTCTTTTTAATTCTCTTTGCCTAACATACCTACCATTTAGTACACTTAAGTATGGCAGAAGGCTGCCTTGGACAAATTAAGAATGCTAGCTGGGAGCTTTGTTACAAGAGGCAATTTGGCGTATTAGTACTATAGCACGGCTCATGAGGACATTGTGGGCATCTCTCCGCAAGACTCATGAATTCAAAGCTCCAGGAGAACCACAGAAATCAAGCAAACAAACACTAACAATGAAGGTTTCAAAAGGAAGATCCTTAGAAAACACTGAAGGGTAATTCTTCAGGACAATGGCTAGATCAGAGCATTCATTTCACTGCCACTGAGGACAGAAAAGGGACAGCTTCGACTGAGCCTCCAAGGAGGCTGAATCTCGGACTAACACCTCGGCACTATGACAGCTCTCCCAGTTATTGCATGTTGTGGTGATTTATTGATGTGTTTAAATAATACTTCAGGTTTTAAGGGTTAAGTTTACTTTATCACCTTAGGCCCTGTGTTAGACAGGGTTCTCTAGAGAGATAAAACCAAGTTGCTGACAATTTAATAAGTTTATTTATAAAGATAATTAATATATAACAAGAAATGAACTGTTAAATCACATACAGATAAATATATAGTACAAGAAATGAACAGTTAAATTATAAAGCAGCACAAATGGCTCAGTGCAACTCACTCCCGTGACAGAGAGTTGTGAGACACTAGCAGTCCTTCAAGTCTAGTCTGCTGCTAGGTTTTCCTCTATATAGAGAGAGAGCTAGGCTATCTGAGCACAGCAGCAATACAGCAAGGCAGGTCACCAATTGTCAGCCAGGTCACCAACCGCCAGTCCCCAGCTCCAGAGATGTCTTAAAGGGACCTCAACTTACAGTGACACAAAGTTCACAGGCCAGGCGTCCCACAGGTAGTGTAGCCTGTAAATTGAGGCACAGAACAAGCAATACAGCCGCACATTGGTCCGAAGATCAAAGAGCAAGAGACAAGAAAGGCGAGGCTCACCGAGCCATTTATCTCTTGGCCCTTCAGTTAATCCCACTTGTGTTTATCGGTCAGGCTGGCACAATAAACTATCTCAGCCCACATGGGGCAATTTGTACACACATTGTTCACTGACATCAGTTAACATTTTCCATGATGTCACACTTTCTCTTTTCACTTAACTCTGGTTGTTCCATTTCATATGGATGTTTTTTTCTTTTTTCCATGTTGTAGTTAAGAATCTTCACAGGATAGATTTATTTATTTACATATGCGCTGTAGTATTCCATTGTATGGATATTCCAGAATTTATTTATTCATTTTATGAGTGAGTGGACACTGAGGTTATACCTTTTTTTTAAATATCCACAATTATGCTGCCACGAGTGTGTCTCTTACAAGCTTCTTGCACATGTGCATACACTGCTGTTGGGTGAATCCCTTGGAATAAACAAAGCTAATCACACAAACTTACTAAAGAATGCCAAGCTGTTTTCTCTGCTAAGAAAACTTATGAGTCTTGGCAATTCACTTTCTTAACTAATTACAATTACTTTCAAAACTTTTTTTTCTTGGCCAGTCTGTTCGGTGTGGGGTACACCCAGTATTTTACTCAGCATTTCTCTGTTGACTAGTGAGAGGGAACCATTTTTTTAAAACCTTTTTGCTTGCATTTGTGTTTTTGATAAATAACCTATGGATGTATTTTAAACTTTTTCTCCAACCCTGCTTTTGCTATTTTTAAAAAATCTACTTGCAGGAACTCTTGCATACTAATTTCTTTTCTTTTTTTTTAAAATTTTTATTCTTCAGCTAAGACAGCAGAAGAGATGATTTATAGTGCACACTACATCAAGCCACAACTGAGAACTGAACTAGTCCAGAATATCTTAGGTCCGGGGCAAAGGATCAAAGCCAGGCTGGTTAGGTGTGTGCAAGGTGACAGGTCTCTTGGGTGCTCGTGTGTGGCAACTGAATGGTGACAGACGTTCCAGATCCACAGCGGGGTGCACGCAGTCAACAGCTCGTATCAGTGTCCCGGCCTCGGGCACTCCATATTCCTGCAGCTGTGGCTTCTGAGGAGGCACCCGGTAGCTTTACTTGTACCTCTGCCTCATCTTTCTTCTCTGTGCTTCAGTCTGCGCATTCGTTTCTTCCTCCACTTGGCTCTCATGGTTCGGAGGTTTCTAACAAGATGGCACTAAACCCCAGAGCACATACTTATTTCTTAAATCAGTTTAGTGTGCAGTACAAAGTAATTACAAATGTGCGGTTTGTCTTTCCAAGTGTTTTCTGGAGGATCTGCCGAGAAGTCCTTAATAGGAAAGCAGGCACATTAGCTCCCTTTAAGTTTGTACATTCCACCAACTCGATGGAAAAAAAAAAAGAAAAAGAAAAAGAATTTCTCATTCTCTACAGTGCTTGAAGTAGAATCTGAAAAAAGATCATAGATGATCTGTGTAATCTCGATAAAGATAGCGCTTACAAACCAAGGATTTCACAGCAGACACTTCTGTGACTCCTCAAGCCCTGGTGACCCCCTACTGCAGAGTGCCACTGTGCTCCACGGACTTTTCCAGATGCAGCTTGGCCAGGCCTTTCTTCTGAAGTATTTGTGTGTGGGTTTGAACTGCCAACATTTCAGCTGATGGTTGAACATTCAGTATTTTGTAACACCCAGAGACACGCAAGCAATAGCAATTTATACCTTTCAGAGCTAGTACTACTGTTTTACTGATTGACAACAATAGGTTCCAGGGTCACCACTGTGAGGATGGTGCAGGGCAGGGTTCATTCTGTTGTACACAGGATTGCTCTGAGTTAGAGGCACCTCTAAGGCACCTAACAACCACCCCCGCAAGAGAGAAACTTTCTATAAACCCCTGAGAAAACCCAAATGTGTGAACATGACTCTGAAAGAGACATTTTCTTTTCTCCTGTAATATATAAAATAGCACCTACCTTAGAGAGCCCTTGTGAGGATTAAATGGCTTGGATTTCACATGGAAAATGCACAGCTAGGTTGTGCTACAGAAACTGGGTGCTTGACTGGCGTCGTGTAATAGCTATTACTTGTCCATGCGCACAGGCCTCTGACTGTGATTCATTTATGTCACAGAACATTTTTTTAATGGTTGAGATGTACATATATTATATTAAAGTCATTGATAGCATTAGCGACAGAAGAGCTATTACAACAATGCAGTCAGGCACATTACATGGTAGCATTGCTCACCTCAGCCCCGCTTGGTAGTGCACGTGGAAAGAGGGTGAAGGGAAGGAGGGCAAAAGGAACAGGGGAGTGAGAACTGGAGAGGAGAGGGGGAGCCGAGGGGGCTAGAGACCAACGAGAGCGAGATCTCTAGTGCTAACCCAGGCCTATATACCTTTTGGGGGCGTGCAAGCCCACTAATTACAGGTAAAGTCATACGTCACAGGAAGGGGTTGCACTATAGGTTATACAGCAGTGAGAGAGTGGTCTAGGGACATACACGCAATAGGAAGAAGAGGGATTGGGGGCATACATGTGACAAGATGGGCGGATCCTAGATTTAGGATGGCAGTTTAACTTTGACCTGTTCTCTGGGTCTCCATAGGAACCATTATCAGTAGGGTGTAAACCCCACCTACAGGAACCAAATAGATGACTGCAGGCCTGTCCATTGTCTTTAACAGCAGGTTGTGGGGCCCACTGCAGTCTGGCAATTGATCGCCCTCAGGAGGGGAATGTCTCCAAGCCTCTGACCTCTCCCCACAAGTCCCCCTTTTGTTTTATATACAAAATTCAAAAGCCACATGGGCGACATGGTTATTTTCTATACATTAAAGGCTGTCAAGGCAAAACTTCATGATCCAACTAATCTAGCCAAAAATTCAGACTTATAGCAAACATTTAGAATCCAGGCACTGGGGGTCAAGTCCCCTTATGCCCATCTGCTATTGGGGGAAGGTATGAGAGAAATTGGATACAGAGGCAGAAGAAATAGGGCCAAATAGGAGTGTCTGCTTCTACAGGGAGATTGAATCAACCATGTGCTCACTTTAAGGCAGCACAGTTTCAGAGGGAGAAACTGTGGAAAAATAGATTACCACAAGAAAATGCACTTGGACTATATCTCCAACTACTAGAAAGGCGGCTTTCCTACCATGGAACACTGGCTTTCCAGATTTCCTCCGTACACGTCAGGGATTAAGTCCCAGTTTTATTTCCCTTAGTGCTAGTATCCCACATTTCCCCTTTCTGCATTACATTTAAGATTTAATAGTGTCACGGAGGCAACATGGTCTCTCTTCATATCTCTTAGCTTTCTATAGAAGCGACACAAGACTGCGAGCATCAAAATTATGATGAATGTCACAGCACATTTTAAAAAGCATCAAAAGCACGTGCCCTGAAATGATTAAGAATGGCTGAAACTGTAAAAATAAATTTCACTGTTAATGACTTTTGGTCAAAAAATAATTTGCTGTCAAAGTATACTCTTAAGTGATATTATACGTGTATATTTATGAGAGAGTTTGCCCCTCTGCCACTGAATCAACTCCACTCAGTGTGACTACAAGGCGGAGCAGGACACTGGGTAGGGCGACCAAGGCTGAACGTTTGACGAAAGCAGAGTGGGTTCAAACGGGCACCACCTTGAGGTCCCTGGCCTGGCATGACGGAAAGCATAATAAGGAAGTCCAAAAAGGGGATACTCTACCTTTTGCACGAGTTATTTTTCAGAGGGTCCTGAGGAAGAAGCATAAGTTTAAAAACAAAGATTAACATAGTTTATATAAATCGTCTTCACTACTATCCACATACACGCTCCAGCCCAAAACAGAACTTCCACCTACCATGCATTTTGATGTTTAAGAATACGTAAGCATTGAGTGAACTGGAAATTTTATCCCTGACAGATAAGCCCAAGTGAAGAGCCACTAATGAAAATATAAAGTAGTGGCCTAAACATTTTAGATGTAAAAAACACTAGTCCTACAAACGATACTAAGCTAAACTAATCTGAAGCCATGGGGCAACGTCTAGTTCAGCTGGGATGGCCACTGGCAACAGCGCAGAACGACTTTCTAAAAACATTTTAAAATACAAAACACAAACTCTTCTACGGTGATATGAGATAAACTGTGGAATGTTAATAGATCAAGCAGATGACTGCTTTATGGCTTATCGAAATGAATTCGGCTTACTCTTTGAGATCATCATAATTATTGCACAATGAAAAACAGGAGAATAAAATTAAGGAAAATAACATAACAAACTGAAAAATGAAATTTTGGCAGCTTTTTTACTAATACATGTCTGGGCCTTGAAAACATTATGAAAAGTGAGAAGAGCCAATAAAAAAGGCTACATATTACAAAATTCCACTTATTATATAAAAACTCTCTGGACGAGACACAGCTACAGAGACAGAAAGTAGGTCTGGGTTGCTTAGACTTTGGGGAGGGAAGTACATGAAAAGTGACTCCTGATGGGTGTGGGGCATCTTCTCTGGATGATACAAAAGCTCTCAACTGGATGGGGTGATGGTTGCACAACTCTGAATACACCAAAGACGCTTACATTTCAAGCGGATCAATTGTATGGTATGTCAATTATAGCTTAATAAAGCTGTTATTAAAATGTTTCTACCCAATTTAGGTACATTGCAAATGATGCTATTCCTTCCATAATTAGCTTTACAGTACAAAAGGCCTGCTAACCTACTGCCAGAGGACAATAGTCAATTAACACAGGTTCTTGCTATCCAAAATAATACCTTTGTCACTAAGTAGGTATGTACATTGACTCTGATTAACCACAAATTTTAAAAATGGTCATGAATTTCTAAAACCCAACAAGCTACACTGGTCACCGCTAAGTTGATTCCTATCCATAGGGACCCGGCAGGACAGAGGAGAACTGTCCCATAGAGTTCTAAGGCTGGAATCTTTCTGGATCACACTGCCACATCTTTTTCCTGAGGACTGGCTGGTGGATTTCAACTGTCAAGCTTTCCGTTACAGCTGAGGCCTTAATCACGGCACCACTGGCTCCTTAGAAACCATACACACTGGCCTAGACACACTTTAGAGCTATTTTTTATATTCGTTTTCATTTCATCCATCCAAATTACTACCATGCAA